GAGAGAGAGAGAGAGAGCACAAGTGTGAGAGAGAGAGAGAGGGGGTCACATCACAGTGGAGTCAGCTGTCTTAACCGTGGCTTGTGTACAGCACACATACCAGCTTCATCACTGTCTGTCACTACTCTGTTCCCCTTTCGGGCTCTGTCTTTACATTTATTTTGAAAGATGAAGCTTGCGATTATGGTAAGGGGCGTTACATTTCTGACGAGTGCTTGCGGTGTTCGGCCAATCACAATGCACTGGGCCAGCTGGCCAATCAGAGCAGACTGTGCTTGTCGGAAGGAGGGACTTTGTAGAAAACGAAGCGTTTGAGAGAGGCGGGGCATAGAGGACCTACAATAATGTACAGTATTTGAAAAATAATGTGTTTTTTGAACATTAAAGCATGTCAACATATTCTGATACACCAAATACACAAAATAATGATCTTTTAAAAAAGCATCATATGACCCCTTTAAATTATTTTCTAGATACAGGAAAGTGATATCTTAAAATAAAATCTGAATAATTAAACAAATTGCCATCATTGTCAAACAATTGGTTCACTAACATCACTCCATTACTGAACCAATTTTCCAGAAACAAGGATTTCCTCTTATGTAAAATATTACAGTTGATCCAAATAAAAAAAATTGTGTGTCGAGAAATTATGCTTGTAAATAAGTGTCCAAGCCAAAAGCATTTGCTGATGATAACTGGAAAGTTTGATTGGGAGTTTACTAATGGAATAACTACACATTAATGCAGGAGGAACAACTGTCATGATGATTATGCATAAAGTACTGCAGTAAATGAATAATAAAATAACATGTAATAAAGCATATTACTATGGGATTATTTAAATGAAGTCGAGATAAGTGTTTCAGATGAATATATAACGTTAGCTGTGACTGAGATTTTCACATTTTAGACTCTTCTTTTGAGTTGTTATAATGTTCGAAGGCAAGATAAAGGCACGAAGCATAAGTTGTGTTTCGTTCATGTTTCATTTCATGAAACATTTCATTAGTAGTTGGACCTTCTGAACAAATGCGCCCTTCACTAAACGAATCGGTGTTTCGAATCTGAGTCTGACCGAGAGTCGAAGCGACTCTGACTGAACGAGACATCTCGTTTGTGAACAAACTGAACTGTCAGTCATTCTTGAGATGTGGGACAAAACAGGTCCAGCAAGGGTAACTGCTATTAGCTTTAAAAATATATATATATTTATTAATATATTAATTAATTTTAAATGTCATGAGGGATTAATAACAGAATGTATTTAACACAATTATCACCTTCAATTTAATTTTCTCATTATTATACCAAATCTGTGTTTCTTAATGTCCTCTCACTACGTCTAAAACAGTGTGTCCAAGTCCACAGAGAAGGGTTCAATCATTCATATGCAATAAAATGGATTAAAACAATTTTTAATGATGAAAAATAGCTATTTTTTATCAAAAGCAACACTTAATAATATCTCCTATCAAAGCAAGGTTGTTTTTTAATGACACATGCATGTTTCATAAGATTTTAAAGTTGCGTCCCCACTTTTTGTCAACACCGTCAGACATTCAATAAAATGTCAAGTCAAGTTTATTTGTACAGCGCCTTTCACGATACAAATCGTTGCAAAGCAACTTTACAGCAAATTAAGTTTCTACAATATTTAGTGGTAGCTTATCAGTGGTGACTGTCAGTTAATGTACATATGGCAGAAATGTACGGAAAAATCAATTTAAGACGTAAAAATGTAATAAAATCAGGGAATATCAGGGGCAGCTGTCACTCTAAAGGACCCCCTTTCCACAGTTCACCTCTGCAGAGTACACTGTAAAAAATAAGTGTAATTTTAACTGTAAAAGTTTGTAAAAACGCTACGGAATTTTTTTTTTAATATGTTAACAGTAAGTTCCCGTACTATATACAGGGAAAAACTGTAAAATATCTAACCAGACATTTCATGTAATTTTACAATAAAATGCTGTTAATTTTACAGTTTTTAGAAGTAAAACTAACAAATCAATGTATAATTTACATTCAAAAACTGTAAACTGATATTCCCAGAATTCCCTGCATGACACTCCACATTTGAAAGAATTTTGTTTAAATTTTAATGATGAAAAAGAGCTTGTTTTATTAAAAGCAACACTTAATAATATCTCCTATCAAAGCAAGGTTGTTTTTTTAATGACACATGCATGTTTAATACATGCTTTTTGTCAACACCGTCAGACATTCAATAAAATGTAATAAAATCAGGGAATATCAGGGGTAGCTGTCACTCTAAAGGACCCCCTTGCCACAGTTCACCTCTGCAGAGTACATCAGTGTCAGACAGGCTCTGCTAAGTTTTAGTTTTAGAATATTTTAAATCCTAATGTTAATATTTCCTGTGTCACAGCCATGATATGTCAACACCATCTTCCAATTTCTGAGGAAATTATTTGAAATATTTAGATCATTTTATTCTCCTGAAGCAGGTTCCATTAGCATCTAGCATGAACAGCAAACAATAAAATGGCTACTGCATGAACTCCATTGGTTTTGTGAAAGAAATGCCAAATTTGTCAACACCGTCAGATGTCACCACCATAAGATTTTGTGTTCCAATGATATATCAAAATACTTAAATGTGACTCTTGAATAAAAGCTTTATAAACAATTAACATACTCACTGTTTGTTGTGCTTGTTTTAATACAGTAATTGACTGATTCAATGTATTTGATCGTTCAAATTATTACAAATTCAGGTTTTCGTCACCTCCCTCAGATGTGTCAACTCCGTCAGTTGAATATTTTGATAACATTTCATTATGATATTTTATATTTGTTGTGGAATTGTTGGTCACATGTGAAAGTGTAATCTGTCTGCTAACACGAGAATGTGTTTTGAAATGTTAAAAACATCTTGAATGCTGTTAAAGATAAAGCTGAAATTATATTACACAGTCCAAGGTAAAAAAAGCACATTTTGTTAAAAAAGTATCAAAGCATAGCTCAGTAGCTTAGTACAAATAAGATACATAAATGTAGTTTCATTTATCGGAGTACAAGGTTTTATTTTTTCAATTTTGCACCCTGTTTTGTCCCACTTCTCAAAAATGACTGCTAGGACATCTCGTTCGTAAAAAAAACAACAACAACAACAACAAAAAAACAAACTAAATGTACTGTGACATGACGGACTGAGCGAGAAGTGGCGGTGATATAAAAGTGTACAAATAGTGATTTAAAAATAAATAAACATGCTGTAAAATATTTTATTCATTTATTGATTCTTACGTAGAAATGTAGACAAGCAATTTAATAAAGAATAAGAGATGTTTAGATTGAACTCAATCTCAGCCTTTGTGTGTGTGTGTGTGTGTGTGTGTGTGTGTTTATTTATTTATTGACTCAATAACATAAGGCACTGGAAACTTTAAACCAGTTCACTAAAAAGATGTGTTCATTGGCAGTTCCTGTTTGGAGCTTATAATATGACAAAACTATTTGAATTTGTATTGTATATATTTGAATTATTGACAAGTGGCATTTATCAAAACTGAATATTATGTGGCATTTAACATAGTTCAGATTTTTTAAACTTGAATATTGAACATTTGAAATTTATCACAACTGATTTTTTTTAATAGCAGAGTTTTATAGACACGTATTTTCAAACAGTGAATTTTTTTATCCAAATTCTTTGACTGCAAATATCCAGTTTTTAAAAATAC